GTTTTTGAAACGTAAAAAGAACAATTGAATAATGATTACGACAGTCACGCGTGCATGTGTGCGTGTGCACGCGCGCTTTGCAAAGGTTCCTAGGACTGAAATGTCTGGCCCATACAGCACATTTGCTTTGTAAAAATAATTAAAATTTATTAGAATAAATTTATCTTATATATAATCATGGGCAACATGTTCAAAAATGTGTCTACTTAAAAGATAATTGAATTTGTTTCTATGTCCTTTAAACAGAGCTGGGATGATATCTCCTTACCAAATTAGATCATCTTTTCTGCACAAAACATATTTTGCATAATTTTGCAGATCTTGATATTTATGAAAACTTATATGACTTAACTAATTCACCAGACATGCCATAGTTTCGCAGATCAAAAAATACATTTATGTTTCTATAGCATTTTTAAGAAAAGGTAGATTCATATGCTAAATCTATCAGCCAATATCAACCTGTTAAGCGTACATAACCATTCATTTTCTCTATTCCTTTCAATATACCATTTTTTAATACTCACACTTCTTTTATATCTACTTACTTCCATAAGTTTTAAATCCATCATCTCAATCCAATTCTTATACAATAGTGAAGTAAAAAAGCATGGTGTGCTTTGAAGAACATAAGGGATTCAGCTGATGCTTACACATTTTAAAGATGAATGGAGTAAAAGCTATACTTGAAGGAAACAAGAACTAACAAGAATGATCTGAACTTCACTGTGTTGAGAGAAACCACTCAAAATAAAGCAAGCGGGCCTTTAACGGTGGATTAGTCAACTAAATTCCTAGAGTTAAGAAGTTGTTGATAAAGCATTTGTACTACATATGATAAAATATATATGCTATATACTCTAAGGTGTGAATTACTGGGGAATAAGATGAAACTCAAGTTTACCAGGGCCTGAAAGCTGACCCAGTAAGCTTTGCTATAAATGTTATAAAGCTAAGGGGAAAAGAAAGAAAAAGAAGACATTTTTTAAAAACTCTGAATGTTAAAAAAAAAGTTGTGGAGGCTGATAGGCACTGGCAAGAATTATTCTATTGTCTCTTCTGTGGACTGCCTGATATTTTTCTTTAATCTGCATGCAAAGCAAAGAACAGTTCTATAATTTAATTGTCATATCTTAAGGATAAGTAACACAGTGAAAATAACTATTCTCTCACCATGTTTCCAAGTCACTTCACTCCACTTTCTTCTTCAACTTTAATGTATCTAATTGCTGTCTTGTTCCAATTATGAATTGCACTATTTTTGTGCTGCTGTTATATTTTCAAAAATTTATGAAATCACACACAAGGGACAAATATATGGTGCCTGTGAACATGGCATTCTAATTACTAACTTTTCATTTGGCAGGATAGGTAAAGGAGATGTATTTCTTCATTTTTCCTCTGGCTGCTTGCACTAATAGTTGACATACAATCACACTAAGATCATTTTGCTTGCAAAAGCCTACGAACGGAGTTGACACTCTGGTCTTTTGGCCAATCTTATTTACTTTTTCCCCTTTGAAAACCTTGGCAATGCATCTATCAGCCACAACCAGATCAGACCTTCATGCAGTTCATGCATGTATTTCTTTCTTGTGATTTCAGAATTTAAAAAGAATTGATCACTCTGTGATTTCAAAAGGTACACGTGTGTAGGAAGAAATTTTTGTGTGTGTGCGTGCGTGCGTGCGTCTGTGTGTCTACAGTCTTAGAATCCTTAAACATTTCTATTCAGGAATTGTTTAAAAATTCAAAATTAGTAAATAAAATGGTATTCACTCAATGAGTTAAGATAGCTGCCCTTTGGAAATAGCACTAACTGAGTTTTTAGAAGCAGAAGAATAGTTAAAAGCCACTCAATTGGTTATTCAGAGGTTTCAAATAGAATATATATATCAAAAAGCTGTGTCTAGCAACTAAGCTATAATTGAAATGATAAGAGATCAAGCCTACAGCCATCTACACACTTGGACAATATTTTCCAGCATGTCTGGGTAGCACCTGAAGCCTTCGCTGTCAGCTCTCTACAAAGTCTTTCATAGTCAAAGAAAATAGTGAAAGAGTAGTGCAACAATGTTTCCACAACTAATGGAACTTATTCCCATATAAAAATATGTCTAATGTATTTCAATATTTTCCACGTGGTAATCAATATTACGATCTATAATTTAGAAATCAGAACGTAAAGAAAATTTGTGATCAAATTAAGAAATTTATGTAAAGGGAAATACAAAATAAACCTATGAGAGCAAATTCCCATGCTCCTCCCCGCCCCACACACACCCAAAGAAAGTAAAATAATGAAAAGCTAACTGCAGCATATAAGAGTTGAAAGGCAGAGCACTTTCTAAGTACTACACCACCTGAAAACCACTATCAATACTAAATGTTAACATCTTCTGGTAAGAGTAACTCGCCAATTTCTAGGCATGCAAACCTGAAATCTGCCTAAATGAAAATCTGTAAAATTGCACTAAGAAAGCCAAAGTAAACATCAATTCCCCAAAAACACCCTCAGAAAAAAGAGTAATAAATCTGTATAAAACAAAGCACAAAACAGTAAAAGGCTGCATGACAAGAGACAAGAGGGAATATGTGAGTAATATCATCAAAGACACAGAAACACCTGCTGAGAAAAGTGATAGTGAAACGTTTTATCAACCTAACAAGATTCTAAGTGGCAAATTTATATCAGCTAAAGGATCTTATTAGTAAGAAACAGAGAATGACCACAAAGATTGTTTACAATGCCATCATGCGTACTTCATTTTGTAAGCTTCCTCTTTCTCTTATATTAAATCCAAGTTTCTCATCTTGCGTACTTCATTTTGTAAGCTTTCTCTTCTCTCTTATATTAAATCCAAGTTTCTCATCTTCAAGCTATGTTCACAGCCTAACTCTCTCATTTCTGACTTTTCATCTATAGAGTGGTTGACTCTCATCTCTGGTATTTCCACAATTCCTGCTTCTCTTGCCAACCTGAGAGACAATTTTAAAAAGCACCTTTGTGCTCTGGCCCATTCTTTGCTCGCACATGGAGGAGCTCTGTGTAAATGTTGTGAAAAAACATCTTTTCCTTCCTTATTGTCTTATGCATTTGAAGATTTGTATTGTCAACCATTCTTCTTGAAACAACCAAATATCTTTCTTCAGTTTTTCATTACGGGCCATGTTTGCTAAACCTCTCAGTTCCTGTTGCTCTCCTCTAAACTGTCTTAGATTGGTGTATATCTTTCTTAAAGTGTAGTGCCCAGAAGGGAACGTGATAACAATGCTGAACAAAGCATTGTTTACCCCTTTTTTTCTTGCTATTTTGTTGTTTGTCTTGTTACTGTTCTCTACACCTTTTTTACATTCCAGTGTAATGTTTTCCTGTTTCACAACAACATGGATATTGTCAATTCTTGTTCAGTTCATTATCCACTGTAACCAATGGATAATTTGCTGAAGAACTGCTTCTTTAGTTTTATAGTTGGCTATTCCTCCCCAACCACCACCTCTGAATTTTATTCAAAATTCTTTTAGACCACTTTCAAATCATTTCAGCTTATATAGATTGAATTCTAATCCCACTCTCCTTTTCCTTACATTGCCTCAGAGTTACTTATCATCTGCAAAGGCATTAAGCCTAGTCTGTATTTCATCATCTAGTTCTTTAGTGAAAATAGTGAATACAACCAGACTCAGAAGTGACCTTCTAGAATCCTATACATAACCACACTGGAATGAAATGCCTCTTTGTTTCTTTCTTGCTGGTTTAGTTAGAAAGCTAAGCTAAAAATATAGGCATCGTAATGGTTTATCAACAATACACTAATGTATTTAGATAGATTTTTCTGGCAATGGAGCTCAAAATAAGAGCTCAGGAAAATAAAGACAAAATGACTAACCAACTGACAGATAAATAAAAGAGAAATCTAATAAAATTTCACAGTTCTGAATTTGAACATTAAATTAGAAGAGAAAGGATACAAGAAGCAAGTCAGTTTTCACACTTTGTCAATAATGCACATCAATGAGAAGATACTGAAAGAAGTAAAATGTAAAAATTTAAAGGTAATATCAGTATTCATCAGTTTCAGTAAGATCTATGCACCAAAATAAAAAACTTTAAGCCCTTCACATTTTCTCCTCAAATATTAATTCCACCTTACTATATGATTATAAAAGTTAGAATTCTACCAAGGATATATACACAGATGTCTAAATAGCTTTGAAAGCAAATGCTGCTTGGAAAGAGGTACTAAATGAAATGCATTAATAACAACTGCTGAGATAACGTCAAAGATTTTTACACTCCTTATCTTTCATATCATCCAGAATAAGAGATTGAAACGTTCATTCTAATGTATTAAGTATAGATTTACGGAATCTTTTATAGCAGGTGTATCTTTGGACAGCTGGAGGAAGATGTGAAACTGCCAGTTTAAAGTCTTCTTTATAGTAATTAGATTGTATGTGTCTTAATAACATCTTGATATGTTATCTACAGAGGGATACATATATAAATGGATGAATTTTGTTGCAGTCAGAGAAAAAACTTGAACAGGACAAAAGGAAAAGCAAGCCTGAATCATTCCCCTCCCAAACACATCTTGCAAATGCCTACCCTTGTTTCTCATATGAACTTTCAGCCCAAGAGAATCATACGCTTCACTAACTCCAGCCATGAGGAGCTAAAGTGAGCATATGCCAGCAGAGAAAAGTAGGAGATAGGACTAATAGTAAAAGGGATGATAAACCTGCTTGATCACCTCTTTCCACTAAATTTATAGCATTTTGCTGAGTTAGGTTCATACTCAATGTGTCTAGCTCCTTGAAATGCATCCTTCCTGCTGTGTTAGAGGGTTGAACTGAACTAACTATGAATGCTCTTCCTTCCTTTATGTCTTGGCCCTGTTCTGAAATAGCATCCACATTTTTGTGTATCAGCTGCTGGTGTGGTTCACCTCTACTATGCCTAATAAGATCTCCTAATCATAGTATTTTGTTTTTCCTAGGTTTTTTATTAACAATAGGTTTTCACCCACTGGCCTCAGAATAATTTTGTGATACATCCGTAGCACCTGCTCAGATTACTCCAGGTGAGTTTTGTTATTTGTAACTGTAACTGGATTGCATTGCAAGAAGCTGCACCTGGAGTTAAATTAGCCATTGATGTAATAATTGCAAATATGGCATTGCATGACTGGCAGCTCACTTCTACAGCACTATATTTTGAAGATACTCAGCTTTCCTAAAAGTTTTCAGTTTATAAGAGTTTTCGGCTTTACTCCTGATATCCTAGTCTCTGGGTTGCTGTGTGTATTGCTATTTTTATCCTTGCCACCTTTAAAGCAAGATTTGATTCTATTTCCTGTATCATTTATACAACTGCCTATGGACTAGGTGCAATTCATTTTTCCTTTCCTGTAGTTTCCCACTGTGTATCTCCTATATGGTAAGTGTTCTTTTTTCCTTAATCTGCTATGTCTTATTGTCTGGATTCTGTTAATTTAATCATGTGTACTCTGAACACTGCTTTGAGCATTTTTCTGCACATTTCAGCCATTCTTGCTGTTTAAAGATATTTCTGCCGGGCTAGAACTCTCTCCTAACAATCTCTCTTGAAGGCTTTATTTAATCACATGCCCCACAAATGAGCCTGGCTCTAATTAGCAAGTCTTTTATGATTCCAGTGCTCCATGTGGATGCCAGAGTTCTCAGCTGTGTAATGTTAGTATTGGTTTTGGACGTAAAAACATGTTATCTTATACCAGTTTCATTCTTTTAGAAGTCACACTCCTCAGACACCTTTTTCTGCTGTTCCAGTGTTTCAGGCAATTTTCTTAGTTACAGTATCTCACTCAATTACTCATTTTTATTCCATGCCCAATGAGCTGTAAGAAGCATTTCTCTTCATTTTAATTTGTCTTTATTTTTTAATAGCCACCTTTCCACACAGGATCAGCTTTTGCTTCCCACTGCCATATTTTTATTTGAAAACTTAGTAGTCACAGTTTGTGTTTGCACTGTTCTGTTTTTAGTCATGCTTTGCATGTGACTTTGACTCTCTCAGCCAGAAAACAACCATCCATGTTTCCTTAGACCTATCCTGTTTTTCCAGGTGGATTACAGCTTTTGGATGCCCACTTGCCCTAGAAGGTTAGGAACCTCAGATACTGGACGTTCAGAAATCCTGGACATACAGCTGACTGGTAAAAGTCACAGCCCATGTGTACAGCACTACATTGCTATGCACAGAAGTACTGTGCATAGTCTCTGGGTGCTTTCTGGCACCTTCTGGAAGTAGCAGATGTGCTTCTCCTGCCCACTTGCTTTCAAAAGCCATGAAAATTATTTCGTGTATTCTCTGCAGTTATTCTGTGTATATACAGCAAATCCCATGTATAATGAAAGTATTGGAAATAGTATGCATATCCTGAATATGCATTTACTTATATCTTGCAAAAAAAAAAAATTATTAAGATGAGTACTTATGAAGGTATTACAACTGAAATTGGATTCAAATCACTTACTGTTTTGGAGCTTTCTCGAAAATCCTTTCCTCTTGCAAACTGGGTTTCCTGAAAGGTTCAATGTATTTCAGTACTTGAAAGTCAGGAGGAGCAGCTAGTTTTATTAGAGGATACTTAAACCAGATGTCTGTCGAGTAACTGTACTGTATAAGCATTGATTTATTTATGTTCTTGTTAATTAGCTAACCATATTTGGAAATACGTGTGGTTAAAGGTTCAAAAAGCTGTCAGTAATCTGAAATCTCTGAGCAGAATCAGAGCAAGAGAAACTTAAAAAACCTAAATTTGCAATTGCCTGAGATCTATAAAATAAATTACTCTCAAGGAAGTGTCAATCAAGTATTTTAAACACTCTAGCTCCTTAGGCTCATAAAGTTTATTAGTAAGATGATGTTTCCTTTGAAGTCACCCTGTTATTCAAGGTGTTGTTTCTGTTGCCTCTGGCTGTTTCCTGTGAGGTCTGTCATTCACTGCCTGCCTCTGAACTCTAATACAGGTAAATCAGTAGAACTAAAGAAAATCTCCCAGGAACAAATACCTAGATAAGAAAATAATCCTTTATTTTTGGCTTGCTGCTACAAACTGTCCGGCCCCACAACCTGGCAAATCAGTCCCCCAGTGATTGTTGGAAGCTTTGTTTAAAGATAAAGTTTTCTAAGATGTGAACACTATTCCAAGCAGAACACACAGACATACATGCAACAACTGACTTGAAGATAAGAGGCTCACTGGGAGTAAAAACACGTCTCAGCTTAGCCTGATTTCAAGATAGCAGCACAGCCATACAGGATTAGATTTGAGGAGGAACTGTGCTCCAAATCTGGGTCCAACTTAAATGACTAGGTGGGAGGCATATATAAAATAGTTTTGTTCAAGGTCTTCAGTAGTCTTACTTTTTTTCTCAGTAGTCTTACTTTTTTTCTTAAAACATCTGCAATTGAACATTCATATTTAACTTAATAGAAAGCATAACTTTTTGCTAGACAAAATAATAGCATAGGAGAGAAAAGGAACAGGAAAAAAAAACCCAATACTTTCATTAAAACAGATGTTGCAAGTTTTTGTTTGTTTTCTATGAAGGAATTCATACAAATACAAACAAAATTATTAGCACTGAAGTCATCGCAGGCATTTGTTTTAACATATACTTAACTTGCTGCATGTGTTATGAAAGGATCACATTACTTCATTTCAGGTAAGAGTTTGGACTCTGCGGATTGCTTATCTATTATTACAGTTGTGTTAGTAATGTGAACTCTGAGGAAAGTATGCAGAAGAAAGAGAAGGCAAGCTTTGTTTTCTTGGTGAAGTTACATTTCCTTGCAATAAGAAATTACAGTTATAAAACCTTTCATTTCTAAGAAACTTTGTGTTTGACAAACTGTATGCATGTATGAATCATTTCACAGAAGTGGAACTATTTTCACCCAACACTGAAGTGAAATCAGCATGGCAGGTGCTTCAACAGTATGGCACAGTAACTTTGGAAAGGGAGGAGGAAAAGAAACTGCTAAAATAAAGCTTTGCAGAGAAAGACTGTTATCAGCCCTTCAAATCAGAATACAGAGATGCTTGATCCTTTTTTAGTTAAAGCTTTTCTTGTGGGACTTTCTACACAAAAAGAAACCAAGTCATTTTGCTGAAAAGTATTCAATCTATGTATTTCAAACCTTCCATCTTCTCAGTCAAGCTGGTCCTTCTGGCACCTAACACTGTAAGGGGTAACATACACAAAGTGATAATACTTATAAGCAGATAGAAGCAAATGATTGTGAAACACCCTGACAGCCATTTGAAATGAGAAAGTTGCTAATAGTATTTTAGGAAGAGATGCATCTCCTCAGAATTTCTGTATATAATCCTATCGGTCAAATATTATGGCATAAATCCTTGACAGCTTGATCAAAATAGATTATATTTGGTGGTATTTTCCATACATGAAGCAAAAGTGGTACCATAAACAAGGCAAAGTATCAGCCTTTCAGATTATATCACTTCGCATCATAGTATTTGCTAAGGAAGAAGAGTTTCCGCTGAGCTCTCAGTGTCACTGTGACTCTCCTGCTGCCGGGGTCTGGCCCTGTGCACACACAGAAGCTAGTGGTAAGCTTCCTCTTGCTACTGCACTATCTAGCCCCAAGACAGGACTTCCTCAGGAGCTCAGCAGCGCTTCCCTTTCATTAGCCATGTGTTTGTTACTGGGTGGATAAATGTATGCTGAGCAGCCAATGGAGAAAATCTCTTTTACAAATATTAATTCTCATGATAAGCTTGAGAGCTAAGCAAGTTTTTACGATACTGATTTCATATACCAGCAAAGCATGAGGCAGAAGGGTTAAATTAGGCTGCAAACAAAGTAGCTGCCACTGAGAATGAAATCTAGGAATCCCGTTGACTTATGATTCCCTGTTGTCACTAGAAGGCCAAATTCCGTCTTAAAACTACTCAACATTGAAGTAACTTTATTTTAAAAAATTCTGGGCAATTCTATACCAATGAAAGCTATTATAACGTTGCCTTGTTAAATTCCATTAAGTTTTAAATGCTTGACTCATCTAGCATAGGTCAGTTTAAAGAATCTGTATTTCCTTTGAAGAGCATGAAGTATTGTAATTGTGCACACCGCAGTTCTTTAATAATAAATATCTCTTCTGCTTAAAACTCATATTAATAATTTATGGAGGCAGTCTGAAGAACAATCTTTGCATGTACTTTAAAGCAAAGTAGGGAGTGAAGTGCTGCTCAGAAAACACACTACAAATAGGATCTTCTTATCGTTATTTTGGATGAAGGAAAACAGTTGTGATACTGTTATTTTACTCTCCTCTAGATGCTTAGTTTTATTCTCAGTGTCAGGAGAATAACAACAACAAAAGGTATCATGACTGGAACTTTCAGTCTCACCATTAAAAACTACCTGCCAGAAAAGAGAAAGATTCTAACACTAATAAGCTGAAGATGCCCATTGCTGATACATGGGAACATAAGAAATGATAAAATAATAGTTTCTGCTTTGCAATAAGACAAAGTGTATTTATTTCAAATATAGATTCAATTTTCATTACTGAAGTAGGAATAAGAATTGCCACAGCAGTTTGAACTGCAAGGTTGGAGAAAAATGTTCTCACCTGAGTAGGTAGCCATGCCAGTATTCACAGCTGACTTGGGGCTTCTTAACAGTGCATGCCAAAAAGTGTTTTGAATCCCCGTGAAATAAAAATGAGGGACTTAGGTTATGCTGCGATCAGGGCGTTTCTGCTACTGCAGAGACAGGGTCTACTTTGTGTAATGCTGTGGCTTGACCTGCTAGCACTCAAGAATCAAGAAGGGAGCATCAGCAATATTTCTCGGATAGCAGGGACTGATTTCTCCGTTTAACTGAAATCTTTGTAAACAGTGGAGAGACTGATTCAGTTTCCAGCAAAGATTTTGAAAAGATATCTTTCTAACTAGGGGGAGAGAGAAACCTTACTAATGACTACCTAGAGAAGAGTTCTTATCCATCAGCAGTTTTGACAGCAACTCAAGTAAATATTTTTCAAGGATCATTAAAAGATTTTTTTTTTTAATTTTCCTCTATTAGAAAGAGTTGGACAATCTTCTGTTTTAGGGTTCTTTCTGCTCCATTCTTCCATGGTCTACTGGTGACTCCCTTGCTAATCCTAACAGCATTTAGAGAAAATGCTCTTGCCTGAACATTTTTTCGGGTGAATTAGTGTGGCACATGATTTATATTTTGACTGCACCTAACTAACAAAAGGAGCATTTAAAAATATAGATCGCGGCCCTAGTCTGTGACATACAAGAATTGTTATTCATAGAGAATTTACATCCTCTCCTGAATTCTTGGGCTGCTCTCCACTGGAGCACTGCATGTTTCCTACCAAGGACTCTTGAGACCTTCATCCCTAAGACAAGAATACAGCACGATTGGGGACAGCACAGCTGACCTACATCATTCAGCAGATATGAACTTTCATTGAAAACATGGAAGGCAGACAGTTTCCCTTAGCTGGAGTTACAGCATCCTCTTTTGTGCCGCTAGCCTCTGCAACATTTTTGGTTTATCTAAAGAGCATATTCTTTAAATGTGAACAAGCCAAGTCTCCTGGGATATGATCTAAGTCAGCCACACACAGTCTCTTTCAGTGACTGAGTTCAAGTCATACTTTCTGAAAAAGTTAACAAGAGCCATGACTTTATAAGACCATTCATGTTCTGTGTTAGATTTTATTATGGTCACAGCAGCACAGGTAGAGCTCTGAGATTTACACAAGCCTATTCATTTTAAATGGTTCATCCACACTTTTGATTTTCTTTCTTTTAAGCTTTGTGAGCAAATAGAATGGCCTCAGCAATGACTGAACATTAACACTGGTTTGTTAGGTATTCTGCAGGTAGGTGCAATGTAGGTTACTTCTTGGAGGACTGTCAGTGCACCTCAGTTCCGACCTTTGGTGTTTCATGTATGTGGCACTGAAAGCCTCAGAAAACGTCACAAAACAAGCTGCAATCAAACAACTGAACTGAACTCCCAGCAAATAGAAAGTACAGAGTAAAAACATGGTTAAGAAGGTGCTTCATGATGATAACATGTTTCATTTTGAACGTCTTTTTTCTTTTGAAACTATATACAAAAATATAATTCAGGATTTCATTTTTTTTTTAATTTTCAAATCTATAATAAAATTGCACATACCAAAAAGTTCTCCTGCTAGGACTTGCCAAACATGTCTGGAACCAAACCCACTAAGATCTGTCCGCTCAGTCCCCAGTACTCTGGGCTGAGACCTTACCCCTGACTACTATCAAAGGCCATGAAGAGCTGTTTTAAGAAGGGTGCCAGCACCTCCCAGGGATATAGGGAGAGCAAGGCCTTGCTGGCACTGCCAGAAATCTTACTGCTGGGTTGTCTACTCCCAGGGATATTGTATAATCTCAATAGACTGCATTATGTGTGAAAACAAAGATGACTCTGCCTCCTTTGGGGATAAGCAGCATCCCTCATATCCAGACACTTAATCATATAGGGTGATCAGATAAACTGACAATCTCCCAGACATCAGGACTGTCTAGTGCATATCTAAATGTTTAAGAAATTTATTCCTATTTCACAGTTACAGCCATTTCTGAAGCAAGATGAAATAGGTTAATGGCATAGAATAAAACACAACAAGTTTAAGAAAAGAAGCAAAGAATTTGTAACCAACTGAAATGGCAAGAAGTTCTAGCCAATTAATCAATCTGCCGACTAAGAAAAACTCTGTAAGTATTTGTTCAACTCTCTTCACACCCATTCTGTCTTCATGTCCCATGCACATTCACACATTTGAGTTTTCACTCATTAAAATGCTCACAGGGACTGTGATCCACTGCCGCTGAAGTCAGTAAAAAGGACTCTTAATGATTTCCCTTGGATAAGACCCAAAACACACACTGCACCTTTTACATTGTACTCTCACACACCAAGTGTTAAATACTTGTACATGGGAGTAGTTGCACCCACAAGGACTACACTAATTTGGCATGGGACATTGCTCATAACATAGGACTATAGAGGTTTCAAAGCTCTTTCAGAAAAGTCAGGAAACAGAAGGAATACGATGCAATTTATGTGACACAATCATAACTTAGCAATACAATTCAAATATCAGAATGCCAAATACAGTTCTTGCAATCCCTGAAAATATGTAATCACTCTATACAGTAAGATATAAAATGTCAAAAAATAAATAATTGCATTTCCAAAACAAAAAACATGCCTCTGTTTTGATTCACCATGAGAAGGGAAAGAAAATGAACTTGTCAAATAAATTATATGCTATGAATCACTTGCTCAGGTCTGTTCATTAAACAAAACCTTTTTCAAAACACATTGTTCTATATGAAGAATGCTGTTGCTCTTTCTTCCAGCTGCATAAAGGTCTTCCATTCAAAATTTCACTGTTTATTTCACTGTTTCACTGCTATTTAATTACACCTATCTTTGTAGCTATAACTTTAAAATGTTATTTGAAAGAGAATATGTTTTTTAATCAATATCAATCATATTGATTTTCTCAAGAGAAAAGAGGACACTCAAAGGAAATTAATCTTACGGCTACGCTAACTTGCTGCCATATAAAAATGTGCTTTCTTATTCTGGCCTTTGGAAAGTCTGCAGCACTGCTCAAATATATTTAATTTACAAGTCACTCCATAATACATTTTCAAAAGAGATTCTTTTTTTTGGTTTAATAAGAATGTTTGGTTTCAAGAAAGGTGGACTGCAGTGTGATATTCTTATAACCACAGAACTGATATAACATGAATTTGCTGTTCTTTGGCCCTGGAACCTGTTTCTTGGTTACCCAAGACTCTTTTAGCAGAGGAAAGTAGGACATGACGGACTTCTCCATCACGTGATAAAAGAGTGATAAAGACCAGCACGATGTTTATACCATGTACAGTTCTCTCCGTGTTGCTGCCAACAGATCAAGAAAAAAGTATTACTTTCTACAGGAAAGTGCTGTATAAAAAAGAAGTTTAAATAACTCAGACAAAGAAGTTTCTAAGTCTACCTGTATGAGGGTTTTTATCCTTGTCTAGTGGAAATATTTGTATTAACCATGTACTGTTAATTCCCAAAAATGTGAAAAAAACAAATCTCAACATCTTAGATTGAAATATCATCTAATCATGTGATTTTATTTTATTTTATTTTACTTTACTTTATTTATTTTAACTTTATTTTACTTTATTTATTTTACCTCATCTCGACTATTAAAAATGGTTCCTAAGTTTGAGACATAGGACAAACACCAGAAAAAATGGACTTTGAATTCTCTCCAGTATGTGCACATAACTGAAGTGCTGATATGTAGGTATCATACTCTACCTTATCTACTATATCCTACAAAACTTGCAAAAGAAAGATACAGCAGACTAACATATTACACTTTTCGAAAAATGTATTTTGGGAAATATTATGACAAATACATTTCAAAGTAAGCATAATTAGCTTCATAAAGGAAACTTGAGGCCTGAAAAGGTGAAACAGTTTGCCCCATTTAAACTGCAGGTCAATAACTGACATTAAAGTTCTTCCTTTCAGTTTAGGATACCACAGGTAAACATGCTGTTTACAATTTTACTTTTGGCTTTTTTTTTAATCTTATTTCCACTATTACATTCTATTTTCTATAGACCAAAAAACATTTGATGATAAGAAAAGCTATGAATCTCACAGTAATGCTTATTAAATGTTATAAAAATCCTATACATCATAGCGAAGGGAGTATTCTTTCAAACTTTACAAGTTCAGATTCTTCAAAGCATTGCACCCCTGAAACTATCAAAGCAATGCGCACCACAGCTGTGGAGAGGATCTTACTCCTGATGCAGTTTATTTGCTGTCTTTGAGAGGAGAAAGTCAGTCTTATCTCAGGTAAATCTTTGAAGCTCCTTCTAATTAGAGGCAAGTCTACTATTATTTCACTGTTTTTCCCTGCTATCTTTTTCATGGCTAAAGCTGCTTCCAAAAAAATATGCTCTTAGCAGTCGGCTGCTTAGCAGTTCATCTGTTCCTGCTGCTAATACCTCCCTTGAAGTCACACACAGAACATTTCAAACTTGTATAAGGAAATTTTGCGATTAACTTATTGTGATTGATTTCCTGAAAATATTTACACCTAGATTCAACATGGTTGAAGAATCAGAGGAATTTGACAGAAATCTGCTCCACTCAGCAACTGAGATTATTCAGTCTACACTGAACCTAGCACCTCCCAGGCGGCTTAACAATACTGTACTGTAGTTCACCACAGCTCTGTCCCATTTATGCAGACAATAATTTGGACTCAGTATAGACTACTCTTGCTTCAATACTTGCTGAACTGTTACGCTACAAAATCCCTTTATCTTAACTTTATTAAGTTAAATACTTCAAAAATTACAGACTTCTCTAAGGGATCTAAAAAATGCATCTTGGCAATGTGCAGTACAGTTTGCACTAAGCTTACCTTCCATGCCCCATACCGGTTTCTTATAAGAAATTTAAAGTGCTTTCAGCCAGGATTCAAACTATCTAAAAAAAGTCTACATTCCTGGGAAGGCTAACGGTTCTGCTTTTTTGCCTCTATGAAGATTTTCACCACAAGGACGTATTTCACCTGAACAGAAAATAAAATTTCCTCCTGGCTACGCTGAAGACTACATATTAAACCTTCATTGTGCATAAATCAGGAATTGAAATGTTTCATAGAATTTTCTGCATTCCAGCTAAAAGCAAGTTTGAGTTTTTACTATAAAGATATTATGACTGAACTCTGCCCTCCCCGTATATTGTCACGAAGAAATGGTTCAGGAATAATTTTAGCCTCAGGGATTAGATTCTAGCATTAGTTTAGCCTATAACATAAATTCCCTTAGATTCAGGGGTATATTCTCTCTTTATTTTCAGTATATTTAGAATACCTGTAGCTTTCAGTGAGATATAAAAGTTAAAGGAACTAGAAAGAATAGGAAGAAATGCTTTGGCTCTGCACTGGGAAATAAACAGTCACTGTTATAAAGATGGAAAATATACGGTGGAGACAAAAGAGGCACTGAAACCCAAACAACCAGCTTTATATAATAGAAGGGAAAAAAATATATATGTGTTTTATACATTTTCATCATGCTTACCATGATGTGAGTCTAGGGAAAGCTTCCACTGTGCATCTTAACAGCCAAAACCAATTGAAAATGGTGTGATATGCTGGAATGCCAGGCCACTGATGACATTCACACCTTTACAAAGAGCCAGAATGAACATCTGTGCTAAGTATCACAATGAATGGTGCCTCTTTGTGTTCAGTATTATCAAGCCTCCTTGTGGGATATATAATGAAGTTCATAGTCTTCTTCTATGATTTTCTCTTCATGTTTAGCTCACTCTGTTTTTCTTTCTAGACGAGATGGCACTGTGAGAGGAGGTCGTCAAATGATAAAGTCAGCAAAGATTCTCTTTATGCACTGAGCATTAAATCATTTTAAGAAATTGTAACAAAGGCTGGTAGCAGAATTTTCTCACTACCTTGTGAGACAACTAATGAGATTTGGTTATTAATAATTAATGCAAAAGAAGAGTTGAATCCTCTAATATAAGGAATGTGCTACCTTAAATATGTCTTTGGCCTTGTCAGATATAAGTTTTAAACAATTTAGCAAGCATACACTTAATTTGGATATATAATTAAAATGATTACATATGCTGATAGGGTAATTGAACTTGCAAATGACAATTAGCCATTTGCACATACAATCATCTAATTAACGTGCACAATTGCAAGTGAAAAATGGGGTCTTTCCCAGGTCTTAAAAATCACTTCCTATATTCTAGAAATTAGGATTAATGACAGTAGTTTACTTCGCTATGCCATGCTGATCAAAATTTTTGTTATACACAGTCATTAATAAGATAAACATACTCCTCCACAACCAAACTGCACATGTACGTAAGTGTACAGAATATAGGTGTACACCATGTCATTAACTTATGAGCCAGAAAAAACAAACAGGAAGTTTTTTGCAATATTTTTTACTCACTACTCCTAAGGGGATTGGTAACCGCACTCAAATAATAGAGGGAGATGACAATTATTCCTGCCATGGAACTATTCCTATTCCTAATGGCACTCTCTTAAAAGTCCTCTGAACATCTTCTTAATTTTGAAGAATTTATGCTCTGGACCTTCTGTGGTACAATGCCGTCCAAGAGGCATTCTGCATTCCAAGCCGTCACACTGCCTTGCAAGACAGCAGTAATGATGCACATGAGCCATCCTGAAGAATATTTCAGTCTCTTCTGGCTGTCGTGTGTGTGAGTTTTGTTTCTCTGTAGCTTTATCATAAGATACCAGGCCCAAATGTGGAAAATTCATTACCGCAGAGAGTTCCAAGGAACACAGAAGTTAGCAGAAGTGTGGATACATCAGATAATGGCATTAAGTGAGACCACTGAACTTCAGTATCATGTTGTCTATTAAAAATAATATTAATCAGTTAGCTAAATACAGAGATCCCAAAGCACTTTGCCAAAGTGGGAAATACTATAAAATAGTATAATATAAGCCAGAAGCTTTCACTGTGATCATGTCTGACTTCTCACATAACACATTCTAGGAGATTTCACTGAGTAATTCTTATTAATTTCTAGCGAAGTGGCAGAAGCAAAAATATCTTGTTTTCAATCATTCAGTGAATCAGTAACACACCTGGAAATATAGCTCATACTCTGGACTTGCAGCACTGTGCTTAGTCCAATAGCAAATTCCTTTGTGATAGGGAAGGAGAAAGGGGAGGGAAAGGAGAAAGGGGAGATGTTGCACATTATCCTGCCACAGCAGGTTAGGTGAAAGGGTTCGCCTGCAGAGCTGCAAGTGGAAGGCTCTCAGCAAGAGCAATGGAAGGCTTGGGGAGGCTCTTATCAATGTGGACACATATCTGATGGGAGGATGTATGAAAGACCGAGCCAGGGTCTTCTCGGTGATATGCAGTGACAAGACAAGAGGGGATAAGCAGCTGAGTCCTTTGCCATTGAGGGAGTGAGTTTGGGCAATGAGCACAAACTGAGACACAGGAAATTCTGTTTAAACGTAGGAGAAAAGCTTTTTTATTGGGAGGGTGATCCAACACCGGAACAAGTTGCCCAGAGAAGTTGTACAATCTCCATGTTTGGAGATACTCAAAACCTTACTGGATGTGGTCCTGAGCAACCTGCTGTAGTGACCCTGCTTTAAGCAGGATAGATGCTCTCCAAAGGTCCCTTCCAACATTAATTATTCTGTGATTATATTACAAAAGCTAGGACACTGAAGGCGCGATGCAAGAGAGAGATTGTATGTCTTTCAAAGTCATGACAACAAACCAATGTCCTTTCACTGCAAATGAAAATCAGATCAATCATTTAAAGAGACTGTCTAAAAATGCATTTATTTGTTCTCCCCAACTTCCTGTTTGTGGCATAAAGAAGTATGGATTAATAGGCATTCCTTAATTTGGATGTACCAAAACCCAGCACTTCCTTTCATTTTGGATGTCTTGCCACTGCTCCTCTGCCACCATGTACAGGGATGCAGCATATTCATGTTCATCATTGCTGAATGAGGCTCTGGAGCTATAACTTAGTGAAAGTAAAAGCTTACGCTACAAATAGCCTTCATCAGTATTCATAAAATAGCACCATACATAAGCACCTACGACATATAGCATACCTATACATATAGCATACCTAGTTTGTTATTTAGATCACTAGCCAGATAGTTAAATAGAGATGTATTAATTGAATATCTATTTCTGTGCATGCCAAGGGCAGGGAAAATAGTCGCATAGTTACAGGACAGGAACTCTAGTTTCTCTTCTTTTTTGGAGGTTAATGTGAGCAAAGCAACGACATACAGATCAGTAATAACTTGACAACATCAGCATTGCCCTACATCGGAAAGGTGCTGAAGAACTTAAGTTAATAATGCATGTGGAGTTCTCAAGTGTGGTAGGAACTCACTGCATTGTTTTTGAGACATAGTGCAAAAAGATATAAGTAATTTTCATTACTGGCGTTATTTCACACTACTTGCAAATTTAAGTTGAATTCTGCCAGCAGCTGTCTTTCTCTCTGTTCTCAAAAAAGAAGCCAAGGAGGACTCAGTTCAAAAAAACTGATGGATATACTGCCATCATGCATGTGCCAAGGATGACAGCATGCACTCAGGTTTTGATACAGCACTGGCTTGTTCCCCTGCTGGAGAAAATTTGCACTCACTTTTCACCTCTCTGAAGTGAGTGCTGTTATCACATTGCGATAAAGCATTGTGAGGCAAAAACCTAAGGTCTTACTTATTCTATCCTGATGAGAATGTTTCATTTTACATGTATAATTAAACATTCACTGGACCCATTAGAAAGTGATTGAGATAGAATAAAAGCACTTTATACAAATAAAGTAACTGTGCCTATAGGCACTATAGGGCTTTAAGGTAACCTAGGTTTACTGCATCAGCCCAATAATTAGGAGATATTTATATGTATACATACATCTGAATATATATATATATATTGGAAATTCAGAGGCTTTTCTTCAAATCCCTTACCTGAATCATGCAGAGAATGGATATAAACATGGACATCACATCCTGTAGGTGAATATCCTACTCACTTAGAAAACGGTATTTGGAAAGACTTTAACCCCAAGGCTTTCCTCCTGTTATAGGCACCTGTGAGGGGAACAAGACAACGCCACTGTTTCTCCAGCTATGATGGGGTATTGCTGTTTGTCAAGTAAAGATAATCCACACTTTTTAAATTTATATCCTACAGATGATGAGGTTTACAGTGGGGATTCTCTTTGACAGGCTGATTTAAGGCTTTGAGTTCCTTTCAGTTCATGGTTCTGGAAGCATATTTTTAATGGGAAATTTTCTTGAAGTCATAGCTCCTGAGAGCTACACAGGGGAAAGGTCACCAAACTTCCAAGCAGCTGCTCAAAGAGAGTATGTTCAGCAGAGAGTATATTTCAAGACTAGAAGACTAGAAATCAAGCATTCAAAAAACAAAATGCAACCATATATTTTTGGATAATTGGCCTAGCAATTTCAGAATCAGATTTAGGTAAGTAAGATAATTTTTAATCCACCTTGGACAAAGGATTGCCTTCCTTTAGTGAACTGTGGTTGCTGGCATCCCCTAACATCAGAAAAAATCTCATTTTACTCATAAAATGATTTTTTTTTCTTCATTCAAACTATGGTTTATAGTAAAAGATAATCGAGTCAGAATCTGCTGTTGTTACTAACACGAAATTATGGAACAAGTACTACATTTAACAGACTGAACTGTGACACCTTTATTTATAAGGGGCTCTATTTTCCTTGGGAAATGCCCCAAAGAAACCAAATACAATGCTAGAGGACTAACAAATGAGCTATACAACACAAGACAGCAGCTGACTTTGTCATGAGCTACCTGCAGCATCCTAATTCACATGAACAGCAAATGCCCCCAAACCTGCAAAGATATGACAGCACCCCCAGGTGCAACTTCCTTTGCCAAATTAGTCTGTTCAAATTGACAAACTACTTTAGGAAAGGGTAGTAATTATCTTTAGATACACTGCAACATGGGAGAAACTTGATTTAATTAAATCAGTAGCACTGTAATTTAAGTTATGATGCATGCTTTAATTATTCAAAGCACAAATGTTCTTCTCAGAAAACTTTCATTAGGGATCCAAGTCGGTGAGAAAACTTAGCTATATTTGAGTTTTCTTGCCACAATCACTGTGTTTGCCTGAGAGTTCTAACTAATCCCTTTTTGCTAACAATTAAGTCCAGTTCTGTTAAAATTGTATGACTGATAGTATAATCATATACTTTACTTGAGGTAATTACCTATTAACTTTACAAATTCATACAATTATGTCATTATACTTTCTGCAACCACTTTTTACCCAGTTCCTGATATTTACTTTATTATTCCTTCCTATCCTAATCACAGAATTTCATATTAATAAAGGACTCTCGTGTGTGTGGTACTGATGAAGTAACCTAATCACTCATCACCTGAAAAAATTTGCATTGCATAAATGTTTCATGTAGAGAAATAAGAACAAAACTACCTCAAAATATTGCTGAAAACATGATTTCTGAAGTCATCTCTAAAAACAGACGAGATAAGTAGGCTAACTGTACTAGATTAGTGATTATTACAGTGCTTCACATTTACATAACACTTCTAAATATTTCATAGTATATACATGACTAAATTACACCTCAAATGTTTCCAAGAGACAAAGGAATAAATTACACTCACCTTGGAACTGTATGTTCTAAGACAGAGAAAAGTTAAATCACTCAGTGAAGTCAATGGCTAAAATAGGAAAAAAAAAAAATGGAAGTCATGCTCCAGAGCCTTAATTTAACTAGAAGCACTGTTAGTAATAACTTACAAATTAACAGCCAGAGTTTCTCGATGAGCTGTTCTAACATTCCATTAATGGAACTGTCTTTAACTTCAGGTCTTCCCAATCCTTGTAAATAAACTCTTTTTTCCCCAAATTTTTTAAAAAATAGCCAGGCTTAAAGAGGAAACAATGGATTCCTTGCTTCAAATTCAGTCTGCTGTGAATCTAATAGAATCACTTAGCTACTTTTTTTTTTCTTGTTCTTTTTTTGCTGTTGATTTTTGGTAACTAACTGGAGTGACCCTCCTATGGAATATATTGCCACTAACAAGTGGTAACAACACTTGTCTTGTTAACAAGCGTTATCAAGAAGGAGACTAAGGTATTATGGTAAAATATGAATATAGCCCTGAATTCTGGTAAAATAAACTCAGAACAACATGATCTGTGCTGTTGATCTATGTATATATCTGTAGTCTGATTTTCTTGCAGTAACAGGTCATAGTTTCACACATGCTGCAAGGTTTGAGTCATCCCACTCTCTCCTCGCACGCTGTTCCTCCTTTGTGCAGAGAAACTCTCCTAGTTAAAACTAAATTGTGACCCACCCGCCAACCCTCAAAAACATGGGAAATGAGGGGATGGAATATTTTAGAGCTGGTGCCTTTTTAACATGTAAGTGAAGCTATCATTTTAGTTACTAAATTTCTCACTAAAATCAGTAGGCGCCTCAGCTGCCCAGAACTTTTTGTTTCTAACAAGACCTAATAACAGTTTTAACAATTAAAAATGTCTTGAAAATTTTAGCATAGTGATGAATGTATGCAAGAGTTTCTCTGCATGCTATTTGATCTCTTATCTATAGTCACATTTCTTCAAGGCAATCAGTAAGGCAATATTTAAAAATCATTGCAGGGTGCTGTCCCTTTGGTTTCACTTTCGAGTTCACAAACAAAAACAGAGCGACTACTTGTATTCCATATGATCTGATTATACCTAGGAAAAAATGCACCTATTCTAATAGCCGATCATGGCAAATACCCTTCTCAACCAGAATCAATAGCAAATTAATGTCCTTGCATGACATTAAGAAGCCCTAGTATTGGAAAGACATTCCCTCTTGCTGAGGCATAAGGACTAAATTTCTAGCTATTGGCTTTATAGAAAAAAGATGCAACCTCTCCACTCCCAAGACTGGGTAATGGCAGGGAGCAGGAGAGTTTAGCTCTGGTAACCTGGCTCACTGTCATATTCAGTATTACCGCCCATCTCTTTCAGAGCCTCCTCTGGTTCAAAAGTATGAAGCATTCATTGCTTTTCAGTATACATTGTTGCCACACAAAAGCATCTCCATTCACACCCCAGGAGCTCAAATGATCCCTGATTCTATAAAGTGTGTCAGTCTCTCTGGATGAAAGACAGTCCGTAAGTATCCTCTTCAACTATATTTATGAGTGCTGGATAAAGAGGGGATATTTTGATATTCCTCCTAGCATTTTTGTGCAATCAAACTCTCCTGCACTGCATATTCTATTATCACCTTCTAATGACTGGAGATGTATAATCAGACTTCATAAATGAGGCAGGCTGCTGCATCATCTATAATGAAATGTATTCTTTCTCACAGCAAAGCAGGGTGCATCTGGCTTCTGTGCTGTTAGCAAGAGCATCAATCCAACCAGTGTACATTCAGTCTTTGCTGATGTACTTGCCTGTTAAGGAACATTTCTTTTAATTATGGGGCAAATGACAACTAAAATGAACCTAGTACATCTACCAATCATTTCAACGGATGGCTGCAAAAAAGGTATAGGATATTATGTTGGCTAGTGGAAGAGTCAGCTACAGTAGGAGGCTGCTGTGTAAAGATTATTTAGTGAGTGCATGATGATCACATCAGCTACGTTATTACATTGTTGGAAGCAATTACTAATTATGATACAAAAGATTCAAAAGTAAAAGTAATTTGAACTGCACAGAGGAGGATAAAACAAGCTCATAAACAAGCAGTGCTCCTAAAAATATTCTAATATGAATTATGGTGTGGTTGCCTTTTGTTCTCCTCTCCTCCAAATATATCATTTTTGTGTTCATGAAGGACACTAAAAGTCACAAAATAATGAGTGGGTGTTAAAAATATAGTAGAGCGACCACGATACAAAGAATGCATTTAAATTTCTGAAGACAATTAGACAAATGCTTTTTTAAAGCTGTCATCTAGAAATTGGAATCATTGCTAAAGACCTAGTTTCTTTTTTTTCGCTCTCTAAATATGCAGTGGAAGTTATGCACAATCAACTTCTCAAATGGTTTATTTCCATCCCATGTCACAGAGAGAATATTAACTCTTAACATTTGAGAAAAACTTTTCCTATTCTTTGTTCATTTCACACTCGTTGACGATGATACCACGAGTCATGGTTATCGCAGGCCACTGCTGCTCTGTGACAAATGACAAGCGACAACATGAGCATTTCTGCTTGGTTTCAATGCAAGGTCAAATGGACTGGTTACAAACCTCTTTCCCCATGGTGTACAATAAACACTCTGACTTGGTGTTGGAATGGATTGGAAATAGACAGATAGTCAGTTCCTGCAGCTCAGCTGCAGGGAGGGTAACTTCTGGCTAAGTGGCAGTAACTTCTTAACCTGCCTGAACTCAATCATAGAGCATACCTGACTGTGCCCTAAGCATATGCAGTAGAGCAAAGTATTTCATGTCTGTAATTTGTAGGCAAAGGAGAGACTGTAAGGACTGTGCAAGGTCATAACAAATCTAAGCTCCTTGAAACGTTACCAGATTTTCATTAAAAGTAAATAAATAACGGTATTTATTTTCCCTGTGAATTTTATTTTTAATATGATGACATCTGGTTGGTTTCAAGGTATTTGGACTTAATATAGTTCCCATCTAAGCCCTGATTATTGTATACACTTTCAAAATATAACACAGGGAGAAAGTTACTTTAAATGAGGGGTTCTGGAAAGCGTCTGTCTCAAGAATGGTACTACTCTTTCAGAAACTTTTTATTGCATGATATTTTCTAAAAAATTTTAAACAAAAATTATAAATATTTTATACTCAATTTACCAAATTTTTTAATTTTCCTCTACATCAGCTATCTTCAGCATATAAAAATCCCTCAGTGGTCCACAGGACCATTAAAAAAGATTTAATTTTGCAATAAATTGAATAGAATTGACATTTCAACATCTTATCCATTTTTTTATGTATCAACCAGTTTTAACAAACATCCCTTAAACGTATTCCAGCAACACCCAACAGATGTCTCAGCTCAAAGACATCTACATGCAGGCCTACAGCTACATGACAGTGACAAAAAACCTACCACACAGAACAAATTATTATCACTGATCTTTTAATAGTTCAAATAACATATAAATATTTGTATTATATCCTGAATATATTCAGGTTGACTTCAATTGAACTGGACTGGCAATATCACCTGCGAATCTGGCAAGGGAAGGGAAGGGAAGGGAAGGGAAGGGAAGGGAAGAGAAAAAGGAAGAAAAGTTTTCAAAGCCTGGTGGAAAGCCCTTAGCAACTGCACATTTTTTTTAGTAAAATGTCATAGGTTTTACATTCTGATAATTCTCTTTCAGCAGAGATTATTTATCCACAGTTTGTGAAAGAGCACCATCCATCCACAACCAGGGATATTACCTCAACCTTCTTCAGTGTGCTAGAGAATTTTTCAAATGGGTCATGGATTTACCTCTGGGTATCTCTCTTTATCCAATTGATAGTCCTTGTTGAAGTGAAAGCATCCGACTTAAAATCTGTACTGCATCCCCTTCTATTTAACTATTATCTTATAAACAGAAACTAAGAGAGCTGAGAAGTCTGTTTTTCATATTTCTGCTTCCTCTTTAGGGCAACTAGAACATACAAACACTGGGTATTTCTGTTTCACTATTTGGGAAAGTAAAATATAGAGGTTTTTAGTTTCCAAGAATATTCAAGCTTAAGCTCCAGTGCTGCCCAAATCAAGTATCTCTTAATTTTAAGCTCTGATAGGGATTACCACTAACAACTACCTGGGCAAAAGTTAGAATAATAAAAAGCATAAATTACTGAGGGAGAGGAATTATATAGGGAGTAAGATAATATAGATTATTTCCCACTATGAATTAGAATAGCTTCTAGAAAAAATTGAATACAAAAATACACTTTTTTCTGAGAGCAATAACAACAGAAAGGCATCCTTTCCTTCCCTTGTAAATCATTTCCTGAGAACACTCTGATTACTATTTTATCAGGAACCTTCAACTGTGTTCCTAAATACACTTAAACAAGATGATTTCTCATTTGTACTTGCCATTCACAATTTGTGTTACATGTATTTTCTCCAGACTATTTAAATTGTCTTCAACAGTGAAGTCGCATTCACTTTGATACCCAAATGAGAGAAATACATAATAAAAAAAAAAAAAATAGAATCTGCATTAATGTTAATAAAATAGCACCATTATACCACTATATGCAATTTTAGAATCATTTTTTCCATTGTGCTTCTAGTCATGCTTCTTTTCCTTTATAATTTAAATGAGTAGAGATTGAAATCTGCAAGGTAAGCCTTACCTACTAGCTGTACTATGACAGCCAGCTGACTAGAGTTCAAGTCCTAATTCAATTTTTTCTGTTTCCCCACGTACTGTTCCTATGCAAATTCATGTTCTCATAGTAGATTCTAGTACTATAGATACGAAATAAGACAATTCCTGACTGGTAACAGTTAGTCTTCTACCTTAGAAACAATGAGGCATGGATATCTAATGAAGTACCTTGTCCTCTAATGAAGTGCCCTTTGGTCCAGATAAAATGGCATAACATAGTTGTTGTTGCGGACGTGAATATATGTCTTAGGTCTGGAAGTTTAAGGCTCAGGGAAAAAAACAAGCCCAGCCAAACTTACTATACTATTTTTGGTTTTGTTTTTGTTTTTGTTTTTTTGTTTTGCTTCCTAATGTGATTCAAGTGGAAATGAGATGCAATGAAAATTGCGGTTGCTGTGTTGGGGAGGGCACAGAAAGAAGTGACTTTAAGGGTCTATGTGCAAAAGATACACCTCCAAGTGTTCAGGATACACCCATAATTGTATAAGTTTCCATTGCATATACTATTTCTAAGGATTTAAAGGAGAAGGAATTTTGGAAAACAAACACTGAAGAAGTAGATACCTTCTACGGAGCTTTCTTGAATGCCTTGTGGATGCTAAGGTAAATGTAGAGTATAATATTTTCCTACTCAGTACTTTTGTTGTTGTAGTGTGACTGCTTCCTTCCTCCTTTTCCTTAATTTACTTCCATTTGTCTACAA